TAAATGATCCTAGTATGCTACCTTTATAAAAAAAATACAGTTTTTTTTTTATCATAATGAAATTTCCACCAACCACACGTATTACAAACGGAAATGGAAGGGAAAAAATCACATTTTACAGAATTTAAACTTGTCTTCAGCATTTAGCTCAGAGGTTTCACCATCTTCAAGAAACTGCTCCTCTGTTAAAGTCTTCAGCTCTTGATATTGGAGGCACGGCTCAATTGGTAGAGTGCCAGCCAATGAGTAAAAGCATTAGGTACTGAGCTGGAGTCCCAGTCTCGAACCAAAAAAAAAAAAGAAAAAGAAAACAAAAAATCGATCAACCAGGAAGGAGATGGTCTTTACTAGCCCACAGAAATACTTTATCCATTTCCCTAGCCAGTCAGGGCTGAACAGCAGGGTAAGGCTCAGATGAGGGTGGGGTGGGGATCAGAGCGCTAATTTCCCCCTAGTACAACACCACAGCAGAAGCTTGATGAGAGCAAAACTGGTGAGACTTGAGGGGAGGGTCCAGGCCCTGAATTCAGTCAGAGCCTCTGCTGGAAGAGAAGGAGGAAAAGGAGGAATGCTTGCCATGCTTGTGGTGTTTGTGCATCTTTTTATGTGTTTTCTTCATTTTCTTCAGTGTTTTCTTGTCCATTGGGGCTCGTGGGCCTATGCCAGGAGCCAGGGGATTCACAGGACACATGCCAGGTGCAGGTGGTCGGCATGGGGTGGGTAAGGACCTGAGGGTTGATATCCTGGATACTGTGGCTGTGGCACAGGGTAAGAGGGCCCACATGGAGGGAAAGCTGGGTTCCCCTGGGGAGGTCCTGGAGGAAAGGGACACCCGGGAACAGGACCAGGAGGAATGGCCGGATTTACAGGTTGTGGGCACAAAGGAGGTGGACACCCAGGATTGGAACCTCCAGGGCACCCCATGTAAGGGATACTTGCATTTTGCACCGGCTGCGCTGCATTGTGATGCCACATGTTCAGGTGTTTTCCTAAGCCTTTCCTCCGGCGCCTGGATTAGACCTGTCCTCCAGAGCCTTTTCCACCTCATGATTTTTTATGAATGGTTTTTTAGTGAAAAATGTTTTTGGTGTTTATGTTTTGGTTTGGCATAAAATGAGCCTACTATTGTCTTAATTTAATAAAAAAAAAAACTCTGATTCTATGACAGCATAAATTTTGTGGGTAATGGTTAAGAGTAGGTTGCCTTTCTGAAAAAAAATATCACCACCCAAAAAACAGGAACAAAAGGAAAATAAATATGACAGGAAACATAAATGTTAATGGACTAGTAGTCTGCCGGTTTGCTTTAACTTTTAATCAAAAATTAAAGTAATACTTGATAATGTTTTATTAACATATTTAAATTTCTTCATTCTTGTCATTTAAGATTCACTTTATAAAGAAATTCAACAGGTGACAATGTTTTTTCATGACTTTTCCAAAGAAATGATCATTTCATCATTATAGTGTATAGCACAATACACCCAGAAAGCTTTTAAGGAAAAAAATTTTCCCATTCTTTGGTTTGCTTCAGTCTGTATTTAAAGCTGCATACCACATCTTACCCACCCTATTGTCTGTCTTCTCATTTGAAATATTTCAATAAGTTTTCTTTCCCTGGTTTGTCAGTCAGAAAATCTTTATAAAACAACATGCTTTCATCCATTGTGCTTTTTAAAGTATATCTCACAAATGCCAAAACGAAGCACAATCTGAAACATCTGTGGATTTTTCCACCTAGAGTCCAAAGTAATCACTATCCATACTCCTTAGAACCAGCTGTTCACTGGCATTAATTGTTCTATCACTTCCATGCTTTAAAACAACAGCATTTGACAATGGCGTACATTTTAATTGGTTTACCACATCTGGTTCATTTTCAGCAAGGACTGTCTTCACAGAAGATGGTAATAGATGAGGTTTGCAATTATGTATTTTGAAAGGGCTCTAAGTTGTGGATATAGAATATCCATTTCAGTGCCTAAATATTTAAATTAAATCCTATAATGTATACTCCTTCAATTTTCTGGCTAAAGTTCTACAATCTAGATATTTTTTAAGGAAATATTGTACATGTTTCCTTGGTGACAACGTAATTGGAAGACTTAAATTTTGCTTTTTTTCTTTTTTTCTTGTGAAAATACTGTACAGAGGGGTTACAATTACATGGGCAAGATAATGAGTACATTTCTTATCAAGCACTGTAGCCTCCTCCTTTGTTTACTCTTCCCATCCCTTCCCATCCTCCCTCCCCTGCTCCTCTACCCAATCCTCATCCCCGCCCCCACCAAAGTTGTAAAGTTCGTTTTTCCATATAACTACTTGTACATCTCATTGTTGGAATGTATCCACCTGTACCCCTATTTAAACATTTCTTTTTTCCCTTCCCCTTCACAAATTTTACCAACCTCAAATACAGTGAAAGCAGGGGTTATACCATGGGAGAGGGACATACAAAGCAACAAAGAAATAATCTTATAAATGTGTTAGAAACAATCACCTAAAAGAAAAAAAAAAACATTTGAATACATATATTAGGGTTCATTTCCCTAACATCAACTTATCTGACTTTTTGCATGACTCAGACATATACTAGCTATTGCAATTAAGGGAAACAATGGACCTAAGTTTCTTTGGGCCTGGCTAACTTCGCTTAATACAATTTTTTTCCATGGAAGACTTAAAATTTTCATATATCATTGCCGTCTTAAATGAAGTGAATGTACCTGGGTTTGCATACAGAAGTTTTGGGACAGCATTAAAATTTGAATCTTGAATGGGATTTGATTGAGAATTGTGGCAGGCTTTCATGATATGAGAAGAGAAAGGCCTTACTAATACTTTAATTTGCCACATTGCTATATTAGTTTATTCAAATCCACACATACATACAGATATACAAATATGTAGTATGAAGACTCAGTCAGTCTGCAAGAAAGTATTTTAATAGGAATTCCATAAAATATTTAGTCTGCTGAGATCTGATTGGAATTTATAGCAATATCTATTTGCTTCCCCCCCTGGACAATTCGTTATCACTGGTGAGGATGTTGCCATTTGAATTTAGAATGCCCCAGAAAGACCTATGTGTTAAAGAAAAATGACTTTCCATTTCCTCCCAGACTGTGGAGAATACCTGCATAGTTCTTCTGGAGATTAAGTTCTTCAGAGTGAAACCTCTGAGAACATGCACACTCATCTACTTTCTTTTCTCTTTTAATCATTCTAGATCAAAAACATTTCTTTTTGACATACTCCTCAACTTGACATTGTCTTGTCACAGGCGACCAAAGCAATAAAACCAACTGAACATACACTGAAACCTTCAAACTTATAAATCTGAGTAAGCCTTTCTGCTTAATAAATGGACAATATCACTTATTATGATAGGTTATAAAGACATCACAGAAATCTAGTCTTTCTAACAATGTAGAGTATATAAAAATGCTTCATTATAAAATATCTAACTCCAAGTTATATTTTGTGTTTTTGTTTCTGTAGATCCTAGGGCTTAAACTCACAGCCTGACTGGTGCTTTTGTGTTCAAGGCCAGTGCTCTACATAAAATCTGAACTGGAACTCCATTTCTCCTGGTGGTTAATTGGAAATAAGAATCTCATGAACTTTCCTATACTGGCTGGTCTATTCATATTGCATACTTTATGTAATTCCAATTCTCAGCATTATATAGATGTTCCAACTACAATATAAAAAAACTTAAAATGTACTAAAGATATTTGTAAAGTATAAAATGAGGAAAGAATTTTCATCCTTTACAAATCTATGCAAAATCTATGCTAAACTATTGATATTTTACTTTACCTTTCCTGAAACCAGTTTGATATAGTTTAATACTTGTCACACCAACTTTCTCTCTATATTCTACTGGATATATACTTTTTCACGTGTGTTTGTATACGTATACATATATGTATCTATCTGTATATGTTCCAATGTGCATCATCGGACTTGAAACTGCTTTCTTTTGCTGTTCAGCAATGAACCTTGTCGGCTCATTCTGTGACAATATCAGTGCTCATTCTCATTATTCCTTTATTTACCAAATCATCAGCCTTCTAAAATCAGCGTCATTTCTTGGGTAAGGTTACCAAACAGCCCAACCAATATTCACTCAGAGGGTTTTAATAAAGCAATTTTTAAGGAAGAATATAACATGAAGTGACAACTACAGAAATTCCGCAGAGACCTGACATCTTTCACATTTCTGTCTTCCTTCTCTTCTCATACTTCAGAAAGTATTGACTAACACTATAAATATACTGCAAATGTAAGTTAAGGATCAGTGGTTTTTTTTTCCCAACCTGCAGCCTTCTTTTCCATGATTTGACATAAACTTTTGGGAGATTTTTTGGATTGTGATGGGATTCCACCCAAAACAAAGCCATGTATAGCAAGAAAGTCAATGTTTTCAACTCAGAGTATTAAACAAAAGAGGGAGAAAATTAAGGTTAGCTATATATGTTAAGCACAAATATAGGCAATATCAAGATATCTTGAAATTGTATACTTTTACTGGATAAAGTGACTCAAACCTGTAATAGTATCTACTTAGAAAACAGAGATTAGAGAATTTCAGTTCCAGGCAAGCCCAGACAAAAAAAAAAAAAAAGAAGTTTCAGGAAACTCTAACCATTTGCTGGGTGCAATGTATTTTGATTGTGTTAGGATGACCACAGTCCAAGCAGGCCCAGGCATTGTGATGCTACCTCAAAATAAGCAATCAAATTACAATCTGCAGGTATGGCAGTAGTAGAGGTGCCAAAGTTGTGAAGTTCCTTTCATCGTTGCAATGGGTCTACCTGTATCCCTATTTAAACATTTTTCCCTTCCCCTCCACAAATTATGCCAACATCAAAAATATGTGCTTGTGTAAGAAATGCATGATTCTAAAATTTCATGAAAATTCTTTTGAACTTACTTTTTTGTGGAATTGTCTAGTTTAAGAAAATCAATTACACTTTCTATATAAAAAATGTTCTGTGCTTAATCCGGCAGCCCATACACTAACATCGGTATGATACAAAAAAGATTAACATGGCCCATACACATGGATGACTTTCAAATTCGTGAAGCAGTCCATATTTTTACAACAACAAATGCTGAAGGGGATGGGGCCACAAGGGAACCCTACTGCATTCTTGGTGGGAGTGTAAACTTCTTCAACCACTTTGGAAAGAAATATGGAGTTTCCTGAAACGACTCCACATAAAGCTCCCCTATGACCAAGCAATCCCACTTTTGTTCATTTACCCAAAGGATCACAAACAAGACCATACTAAAACTACCAGCACAACTATGTTTATTGCAGCGTTATTTACCATAGCTAAGATATGGAACCAACCAAGATGCTCCTCAGTAGATGAATGGATAAAGAAAATGTGGTATTTATATATACAATTGCATTCTATACCTCCATCAGAAAGAATGACATTGCCCAATTTGTTAGGAAATGGAAAGATTTGGAAAAAAATTTATTAAGTGAAGTAAGCCAACTCCAAAGAAACATAGGTCCCATGGGTTCTCTTATTTTCAATAATATATAACGACAATGACATTGCTACAGAATATAAATATTTTTAAATGAAAAGGGTGTAGGTAATGACATTGTAAGTGATCTTTATACCCAATAAAGATTGGTTTAATTTCTAAAGAAATACCTGAATGAACATCATTCAGCTTCCACTGTTTATTATTCCTGGAGTAATTGCTTAAGGAGAACAAATCCACCTCAAAGCGCTCTACCACTGGGCCACCTTCCCAGCTCTGCATTACATTTTATGTGCTTAATACTTTCCTGAAATTATTCCTTTTGGATTAAATATCCCAACAAAACTATTTTTTATGATTTCTTATATGATTTATATAGATTTCTTATGCGATTCTTATATGATTTCTTAGAGATCCATAAACAAAACAGCTCAGAACAGAAAAAGAGTAGGTAAGAAGTCATAAAAAAAATACTATTATAGTGGTTTTAATGGCTAAGTGTAAATAATATGTAACAAAACTGTGGGAAGATTTATTTGCTCTTTTTGCTATTCTCTCCCCTTCTCTGTAGAAAGGTTCTCACTATGAAGTGCCAAATGGTCTGGACCTTTCAAGTCTTGTCTCAGTCACAGAAGTGATGGAATTAGGGACATGTGCTCCCATGGCTGGCTTTTAGGAAGTTCACAATAAAGTGATACCAATACACATAAAGAAATTTTTGTGAGTGATGTGTATTCACTTCTTCAATTGCCAAAATTAAATTCATATGTCAAAACATCAAATTACTTACATTATAATATATGTAGTTCAACCGGCATCACTAACACCTCCATAAATCAAATGCAAACTAAAAGCTCTACTTCAAAAACCAACATCTAAGGCAGTGTTGGAAATACAAGAAGTTGCACAACAAATCAAAAGGAGTGAGATCTTTAACACTGGCAATGAGCAGTGATAGCTGAATTTTTAACCAGGCTTGAAAAGTTCGGGTGGCAACTATGTGATTAGAGTTGCAGAGTTGACCTTGGTATCAAGATTGAAGGTAAAATTCAAAGGCATCTAAGATTGCTGCAGTATTGTGGCTCGATACAGTGTGACCCTGTCTGATAATGGTAAAGCACAGAGTAGAAGCTAAGTCAGTGAAATGTATAGGAAGGATTCTCCACTGAGAATAATTGCAGGGGGTGATCATCACTCTTGCGTTGAAAATGTATAGCCCATCATTCTACTTTAAGCTCTAGTGTTTTTTCTGATCTGAAGATAATTATAACATACCAATGTGCTGTGAGTGCTGAGCAGAGTAGGTGTATATTACGCTAATATATGTAAAAATCCTTACAGGTATGGAATGGCCTGACCCTGACACTTCATTCTGTGTTGTTGAGTTTCATGAACAAATGTTCATAGTTAGGCAATTCACACTCATCTAAGTCTGAATCAGGAAACTGAGATAAGACATTAGGGTCATCACTCCAGTGACATGGTCTGTGACTTATGAAATAAATAACATTATTTCATAATGTAAATGTGTTTCTAAAAAATTATGCAATACCAAATATACAAAAGGGACAATTATCCATCTCTTGTATTATCAGAAGTTAAGATACTCCTGAATTGTACTTTTTTGCTAGAGGATCACAGTATGAGTGCTGATATTTGGTATCTTTCCAGGTGCTCCTATACGTTTGTCAATCTTCTTTGAGGAAGTGTTTTTCCATAGTTTTTTTTTTTTTTTTGAGGTGTTCCGAATATCAGTACTGTCGCTAACCACAACCATGGGACAGAAAAGATGATGGGATACCTGGCCAAAGAACTGAGAAATCACAGGAAGTAATAGGAAAGAAGACACCAGAGGACCAAAAGCCTCATTGCCAGCTTCTGGATCCCTAAATCCTGCTTCACATGCGTTTTATTCCTTCTACTACGGGGGTGGGGTGGGGGGTAGGGGGGTTGTCAGTGGCTACAGGTATGTCCACAAACTAAGGCATTAATCTTGCTGGTGGTTACAACTATTGATATGAGATATTGTTTGTATACATAGTGATAATTGAATCCCTTATTGTTCAGGAGCAGAAGGGAGCAATAGTCATTACAACCATAACACAGACATGTATCTTGTCTACAAAGTCTTAATCTTTTAGTGTCCAACAGCTCTAAATTACATACTCTTGAGGTAATAACTCATATCCCTGTCTTCCCTTGACTGACCTTTCCAGAGTATAGCTCTCATCCTTTTGTCTGCTGTTTGAGATGGCTTCCCAATCTATCCCTTTCCAGGTCTAACAGCTTGAGTCTAGAATTCCTCACAAGTACTGTGACAGATGTATTATTTTGAAAAGGATATTTTTTTCGTAGATAGGTTAAATTTTTATATTTTATTTTATTTCAAAAATATTATACAGAGTGGTTACAGTTACATGAGTAATGTACATTCCTTGCTGAATAGTGTTACCCACTCCATTGTTGTTCTCATATCCCTTCCCACCCTCCACACCTCCCGCTCACTCCAAAGTTGTAAAGTTCATTTCCAATATAGTGTCGTGTGAATATCATTGTTGCAATGGGTCAGTCTTTGTACATCTTTCGTCACTATATTTTTTCCCTTTCCTTCTCCAAATCAGGTAAATGTATATACAAGATGGAAGGTACCAGAATCAAGACAGAGATTTCCAGAGATAAACCAATGGAAAAAGGCAAATGAAATAAAAATAAGACCTAGATACACTACTTTACCTACATCAAGGTTGATATCTGAAAAAAGACTTGTTGTTTCTATGGCTTAGAGTTCATTTCAATTAACATCATTTTGTAAGGTCAAATGTACATAGCTCTGGAACCAGCAATCCCATTCCTGGGCACTTGTGGAAATGATCTCAATCTAAACCACACAAAATTTACAACTATGTTTTTTACAGCATTATTGCTATAGCTAAGATATGGAACCAATCAAGATGCCCCTCAATAGATGACAGGATCAAGAAAATGTGATATATATACACAATGGAATTTTATGCTTCTATCACAAAGAATGACACAACTTCTTTCTTAAGAAAATGGAAAGACTTGGAAAACAATCATATTATGTGAAGGAAGCCAGATTCAAAGAAACATAGGTTCCATGGTTTCCCTCATTTTTATTAATTAATATATGCTTAGGATAGTCCTGGCAGACATGTTCACTTTTAAACTCTTGAAATATTCCCTTTTTTCTCTCCCTCTTTCTCTCTCATTCCATTTGTTCTAAGTCCTGTGATGATCTTGTTGATTTTCTCCCATTACATTCATCATTGCATCTTGCGAACTACTGGTATGCACTACTGTACTTCTGTCCATTCTCCTTGTGCTTCGGCTTGTACCCCTCTCACAGTGGAGGACCAGAGATTGGGGATATTCTCTTCACTCTTGAACTCAGACATCTATCTTTACTTTCTAACAATACATTCATTGAATTCTTTCTGTAAATTCTAATGCCTTGAAAATGATTACTGCATTTTCATGGCTTTGTTATTTGGCATCAGGGAAGTACATAAATCAATAACTGTAACTTAGGTAAAAGAAGACTGCAATCATGCCTCCGTAGGTGTTGTTCATTGGATAATGTTTACTTCAAGGTCTGCCTGCCTGCATCCTTTTCACTGTTTATTTATCAATGTAGCCTTTTCTTCTGGAAAGTATGTATTGGCCTAGTGAAGATCAATTCCTACTCTAATTAGTCATTAATTTTATTCCAACATCATTTCACAGCTCCTTCTGAGTTTCTTCAGGGTCTGTATAGTAGTGTTTCACATTCTTAGAAGTTTTAACATCGATGCATCCAATGATAAAGACACATTGCTTAAGTCACCATTTTGATGACTGAAAAGAAACCATGCTGTAACCTCACTATATAGTAATTTTCTGGTTTTAAATTCTTTAGAATTTAAAATTAAATTTTACATTCTTTAGAATTGATGGTGGAGAACGAACATTGTGCCTGCAATTTGATCTTTTCCTAATTACTTTTAGTATCCTTTCCAATATTGTATAAAGTTAAAACATTACTACTTACCTTTAGGATTTCTAAAATGGTCAAAGTATGCATTCTATTCATTCACAATTTTAACACAATAGTGTCCATTATGACCAAGTGAGAAATTTTAAACTTTTTATTTGTGGTCCGTAATGGTGGTGATAGGGAATCAAGTCCAATGCTTCATGTGTCTTAGTCTCCTGTGTGCCTCTGAGCCTGAGGTGACCTGTGGTTTTATTTTCACTCAACTGGAATAACGAAAAATTTCACTAGGAAGGAATTATTACTTGGTTACTTTCTCCAGTATCTCTCGCATATATAAAAGTAATATAATTCTACACTGACAGAAAATGGTGTTCCTATATTGTATTTATTAATAGTAAATTTTTATGTTTTGTAGCCCCAATCTTCACTAAGGTTTGCCACTTTCCTATCACTGCTTCCCATAAAACTTGACTAGATCCACTAGAAACACAAGTCCAGTCAGCCTCTTTCTTAAAAAGACCAACCTTAAATAACCTACCCCCTGGTAGCCCTGCTATAAACTTTCAAAGGCCTGACTGAAACCAGACTCCTTCCTGAAAGCCCTC